AGATTAGTATCGACAACAACTTTACGCTCTGGTTATTACATTTTCGTGTTATCCACTCGGGCGATACATTTCCGATAAGACTTGTCACATTTTGATGTACAACGGTATCCCATCCGGTGCCTCGTTCATCCCCACACAAAGTGTAATCTATGCGCTATTTAAGGTTGTGTGTGTGTGTGTGAATGTGCTTAGGACAGGCGGATACCCCGTATATTGTGTCCCATTCCGATGAAGCATAGACTAGAATATCACCGACCGTTGTTTTAACCCAAAGAGGCCAGGATGTACAATTATCCGGGTTGTCATAACTACTACGCTTCAAAATCTTTTGGTTAGCATAACGAACTGTTTCCTCCGGAGGAGAGGGGACTATCGTGAGATACTGATCACATTTAAGAATAGAAGGTCACATGGTTGGGGATTTATTTCGACGAATCAAATATCACAAGATCACCGAGGTCTAATTGCCGCGTCTCAAAGAATACTTATCGATTACCATATTCATTACCCGTTGTGTGGCCAAGAACTGCGATAGTGCGTTTCTGATCAGATTTCTGTGTTATTTATGCTAAATTAATGATGCCCCATCTGTGATTCTCAATTAACAACCGTCCTCCATTGCGAACCGTCTTTTGGAATTATAACATTAGTACCTGATATCTGCTAGAATGGTAGTTACACGTATTACAGTGCACCACGTTAAAAAAGCGGTTGAACGAAATAAATTGTGTTGAAGTCATAGTAATTTAGGACTAGAGGAGTAAATAGCTCGGCAATTAAACCTCTCGAAACCTGATTTGTCGTCTCGCCAAGGCTACCACCGAACTTGGTTCCACGATCTGCATTCGAACGGTTCCAGTTAAAAGACAATTGCAAACGATGCTAGCCTTTATGGGTTGTGCCAGTCAAACTTTGGTCAGACATTAACTTATATAGTTCAGCAAGACAAACAGGAAAATGCTATACCACTCAATATTATTGCATCATAAATCAATTGAGTCCCGTGGACTGTATTCTAACAACCGTCCATATACATTCGACTTATCTCCGCGAAACATCTTCATCTTCAGGAGCAGAAGGCTCCGGGGCTACGCCCCGTATGATTATTTCCATCAATGACATCAGTAGCAGTATATCGTGGTCATGTGTCCGTCAGTTGGTACTACTTCACCAGGTGCCGTTTGAAGCCTGTCGCTTTACACCTGTTCCCCACTACCCTCTCCGAGAGTGAGTTCCAAGGTGTAGTCACGTTCATGGTTGAAGCGATCCACCAAGGAAACTTCCATAGGCTTCAGCACCTGAAGTGTTAGAATATATCTACGCGTTTGATGGCATTCATGAAGTGAAATGGCAGCATGCATATCTGGTCCTGAGTTATCTGGAAAGTTCTTCCATAGCTAAAACAAATATCAGACAAGTATCTAGCAGTGAACCAGAAACAGTTTCATTATTTGGTGCCCACCTCCGTAGCCGAGCTCACGATGTTTAGTGGCCGGTTGTGGATTCTATTGCTACACTTTCTAAAACTTAATCATTTCAATAACAGTACACCGGTACATAGCTGGTTCCTCGTATTCAATCCTTGGGCGAACATGGGAAGCACAGAGCTTTCTGAAGGGCGTAAGGGACAGACCACCATGCGGTCGGTGTATGGCATCTGGCATCAAACTCTTTCCAGAGATGCATTCTTTCTGTTTGTGCATCTGTCTCTTCTTGGTACCGGGGATCTCTAACCCACACAATCGCCGAATGTCATAGTGACACACGGTTCTCCTCGTCAGAAAACTTTACAATCCGCCACTGCCTCACTTTAGTATACAAACACTTCGACTGATTCTCTTAATGCTCCCAAGCAGTGGCCGATTGTAGCTACCTATTCAAATATACCTGTGGGATGGGATGATCCTCCGGACTTCTCATCACTTGCCATGGTCAGAGAGATTGTTCTTCGTACGCGTGGCAAAAAAAATACATATTTTCTGTTGGAACAGCTTGCATATAACATGTAAATATAAATCTTCAGAACGTGAAAGCATCTGCACCAGTGATAACGCGGACCTCATCACACTGGTCAATTTTGAAAGTTGAAGCCGAAGACAGACTGACTATTTATTGCCTTTCCAAACGGAAATTGTTTTCTTTTTCGCTGGCAATCTTCTGCATCCATGGCTTCAAGCCTATTCCGTTCTTCATACAAATTTGACTGAATGTTTTCCTCGCACTTCTCATCCCGGTCATTCTTGAGCACATCCGCACAGAAGTACTGGTATTGACAAACCAGTACTCATATTTCTTGTGTCGACAATATAACCACCGAATGACGTTCGAATCAATCACAAACTGTGGTTTTCTCCTCCCCTGAAATATCTCATCACTCATTAAACGGTGCTGTTTGAAATTGTGTCAGACTAGACCGTTTTAACCTCGAATCGGTGACTTGTTTCAGTCAGTATTTTCCGATATTCATTTTAGGGCATGCAAGACTTTATTACTATTGTACACCCATTTACCACTAGGTGACCACTGTACGATCAGACTTCCGACTATGTTCCGCTTTCAGAAAATAATTAAAAATGGATGAATGGTGTTTTTCCCCCTTTTCATGGCCCAGAGATAGTTTCGAACTTACTGAATTGCGCGAGTCTATCTCGACAACCAGACAAGCCCGATGAAGTTTCACGATAGAGTTTTAGGTCATCGTGAACACGTAATGGAATTAGACATTGACCGGCAAAGATTATCGTAGTTTGGAAATGCAATGCATGCATGTGGTGAGATAGGACTAACTTGTCTGTATTGTTGCCTGAGATACGTAGAGTGGGTGAAAGAAAGCCGAGGATAGTCATAGTAGGACCGGACAGTAGGGGGATGAGAACCCGGACCGATGGGTTCGATTGTATGAGACTTCCTGGTCGGGGACCTTCCAACCGACTCACTTACTGGTCAGATACAATGGGCAATTATGAGTAAGTGGACAAAAGTATCGTTTTTTTTCCACGGGAATCGGAGATAACGATCTTGGAAATCGACTTCCTCCATCTCTTCATTAGTCGACCAAGCGGATAGTCAAAAGAAACAGTATCCAAAATGGGTGGTTACACTACTGACGCAAATCATAACTACGCATACCGATACAAACATTTTTCACCCCTCCAAAAAGTAGGTTAGTGCCTCCTTAAGGGAATTCGTTAAACTCATTGCAGTTTTCTGAGGTATGGCAAATGTTTTTCAACCTGGTTATGTGACCGTTTGAGAACCTTCCCATGATTTGGTTGGCAAACGATCAGCATTCGCGATATATTCCTGATCAGCCAGCAATCGAAGCTGAACTATAGAGTTGATTGATCTTCCGGCCGCACGAATAGTGTCCGGTTGACTAGCGCTATTTGACTTTAGTCGAACTCGGGTCGGGGAAGATAGGAGAAGTCAATTCGGTGGACATTGATAGTCTTCATGGCGGATGTGAAAAGTGTAGCGCACCGGATTTACGGTTTTGCATGCATGCACGATGGTGTTGCGTACACAAGGCGATGCCTATTCTATCCTGGTTTTATCGGGGAATTCCGATGGACTATAGAGAAGTGTGTGTGTGTGTGTGTGTGTGTGTGTGTGTGTGTGTGCGACCGAGTATGTTACGCAGGTGAAACATCACACGGCTCTGAACAACCGTAGTAGTGTTTGGACGATACAATCGATCCTGTAGTGTAACAAGGTCAAACCACTTGGCTCCCACGTTCTACATGGGCATCTCGACAAGGTTACATCTGGAAAGTCGTCATCGAACAAACGGTGAGATCACATTAAACATGGAGCTGATAATACAAGCTTTTAATTGGTTAGTGAATTGTTTACTGTGAACCGGTTCCGTGAACTCTTGGAGACTTTAATTTGTTCATAAAAACAACCGAGATCTTTCACTTCACATCTCAGAGATGGGCGAATTGTGTTTCTCCGTGAGTTGAACATACACTGCAACCCGCAAAACCTTATTATTGTTGTTATTCTTTCTATGAAACTCGACACGCTTCTACATTCAATCTATCCGTTTCTATGGACATAAGATTATATAAAAAATCCTATCCATGTTTTGACCTCCTTCAACAACAGAAGTTCCGCCACCTCCACAAAACCTACGGTGCTTGGAAGAGGGTCCCACTTATGCGTTTCTTCAGTGGTACCCGCCGAACATTTCCCGGGAAACGCAACTAAAAACCCCGGATGGTCAGGTCATCGATTCCTACACATTATTTCTAACGCGAGCAAATGACTCCATCGAACTGGGTGCAACCATCACCACGAGCGCCACCACCATAGGCACTGGAACCCTGTCGGGGTTCCCTGCATTCCGTAAACAACTGACAGATATTCCGGCCCGGCAGTTCCATCCAGACGGAGCGCTCCAGTACAAAGTGACCGATTTGAGACCGTACACAAATTACAGTGTCGAAGTGGCCGCAGTGTCCAATTCGCTGGGCATGTCTGATCCCAGCAATCGAATCGTGTTCACCACGGCCGAAGTCGGTAAGTTGACCACGGGGTTTCGGATCCAGAAGATGAATCTCAGATCGGAGTTGCGGGTGGGGGTTGGTACGACAAAAAAGCCTAGCTGTTGTGATTGTTGTAGTATTAGTTATAAATCCAAAAGGTGGTGCTCGGTCGAGGATAGTTGTTCACTGACGATCACAGATGGGACAGCACGAATTTGGCATACATAACACAGAAATCTCATCAAAAACATACCATCTCAGTTCCTAGCTGCACAACGGGTACTGAATGTAAGAACTGATAGTTATTCATTGAGACTCGACAATTAATTAATTTTCGATCGTTGAAATAAATCACCAACAGCATTACCGACCTACTACTCACAAATGAGTAGTATTTCACAACAGTAGTAGTACGCACTGCACTTGGAATACGAACTACGCAATACGAATGACGGAACACGAATCAAGGATCAGCAATCACGAGCTGGATCACGTAAACACTAGACCACACTGGCACTAGCACACAATATCCCACGTAACTGAGACACGAGAAAAAGGCCACAGAAATGGTAGTTCGTTTATTGGAAGAAATGAAGGGAACTAAATAATATAATGGGCAAAGTAGGCTCATTGGTTATCCAGGCTTCTACCAGTCTCTTTCCAGTATTCGTGGCATCTTTCTGTTTCTGTCTGGGCCGCATGGTCTCTGATCGGCTGGTAGGATCTGCCTATGACATATAGTTAGAAGCAGTGACACGCGGGTTGCTGACATCACCGTTGAAGTTGGACTGATCGCATTTGCCCAAAAATTGTAACGCGTCGCTCCAGGGGACGCGTCATCTCGTAGACCCCCGGATCATCACAACAACATTCAACACATTCGGAAGAGAACTGTTTTGCTAAGTGTGGGTATGTTCCGCAATCAAGTCCATGTAACATGGCCAGGACGGGAAAAGACGCAATCAATCCTCATAGGAGTGAGATTCAATATGCTAGTGAAAGAATCGTATTGTTTTTCTTCCATTTCCGTTTCCGTGATCGTGAAAGCGTGAGAACACAGGTCAGACTGTTTCAATGTTATTAAAACAATGACAACACGATTGTGATAATTTGAGAATGGTCAAATCATTCCGCGCACCAGAAGACGGACGTTATTCACTTAATCCACAATATTATCTGAGCGAACAGAATGAGACAACATTTCCTCGTCCGTTCTATCACCATTTCTGCACAGCCCATGTGAGCTCATGTACGGTAAGGTAGAATGGAGAAAAACAGTGCAATAGGGTGGGGGGGGGACAGTCTACATTCAGTCTCCCCGGCGCGTACAATTCATCTTCACAATAGCAACCGTACTGAACGACAAGAGAATGTAACAATGCTTGGTATATGTAAGGAATTAGAAAAATAGGGAACCGTAATTCTCTCTCTACACAACTGACGTTATTAACCAAGAAATTCATTTTTTCACGTCCAAAAAAGTTTAGGAGAACCATTTAAAAAAAAATAGTGAACAAAGATATCCGGGAGTGGGAGAGACATAGAACTAAACCGGAACGAATTTATCAAATGACCAAGAATGCGAGCGGTCAAATCAATGGTATAGAAAAAATTCAATGGAGTCATGACGGAATTGTGAAACCGGACGGAACTCCAGACAGAGAATGTCAGCCTCAAACCCGGAACGAGTTTATTACTGCATTGCATTTGCATTCGGCAAATGGCAAATGACCTCATGGTGTAATCAATCGTCCACGCTTTCAGGGTGATAACTGAAAGATTGTCTAATTCCTTTGGCATGCCTTCCACGAGATAGATACCTTTCTGTTCGTTGACTCATAGTGGTGGATTGTTAGGCAAGCATACAGATAGACTCTCGGTCAGTTCGTACTAATCACGTGATTTTTCCGATCTGAAAGAGAGCATCTCGCTCATTTTCACTTGTATTATTACCCATTCACCATTCACCCATTCACTCAGTTTTTGTAACGTTTAAAGCGTCGTCCGGTGAGGAGATTTTTAACTCGTGGCAACGCTAAACCAAATCAAAAACCGAATCAAAGCAATTCCAGAAAAAGAAGTATTCTAACTGAATATCTGTTCAACCTGATGAGAATATGTACTCAAGATATATATATATCTTTGCCTTCGATATTCCTTTTTTGAATAATTATGAAAATAAACATAATATTCAACTCCTGTTGTCTAGCAGACTGAATTATTCTTGTTGTTTTAAATTGTGAACAGCTCGGTGGGATTTGAACCTATGCGTGAACGCCGCATACGTCGTTTCCAGACAGTGCCTACCGCACCGGCTGAGCTACGAGACGACATCAAAAGCAATGAATTTTTCTCAATTGGTTTACCTGTCCGACTTAGAGAAAAGGCTTATGGAATTTATCTGTTAACTGACTACCACAGCAATCAGTTTTCCTCAGAATTCACCGGAATTTGCTGATTGAACTTCTAAGGTGGATTCAATAATATATCTCCGTAAGTTGGATGGGTAGTCCAAATGTGAACAGGTCACTGCTACCGATCTGGTCATATACCTCAGCTGTGCATTGGTGACGTCCATGCATTCATGGGTTCGAATCCCACAGAGGCGACTGAGCTTTTCACAATTCAAAACACAAATAATATATTTCTACTTCTCCACTTAATTAGGTAACCAAACTATCGACTTTTGGGGAAGAAGGAAGCGAACAATTGAAGAGCTATCAGTAGTCCCGAAATTTTGACTTAATTAGGCTACTTTGGCGAGATTCGAACATTCGAGTTTGAAGACAGTGTGATAGTGATCTACATCGTAAAATACTGATTGTACTATCAAACACAAACACCTAATCAAAATGAAATCCACTTCGGTGTTCTTTTATTGTTTTCTTGAAGAGAGAATGAAACGGATAGGGGAGGGAGAGGAGAGATTGACCCCATTGAATGGGTAAAACACGGATCGATGAGATGTCGGGCTGATGAACAGGGCGACGGAAAGTGTTACACGATTCTGTCAGATAGATGATTAGGATCTTGAGAGAGGCTTTTTGGATCAAGTCATTAACAATCACTGGTCTTCAGACTCAGAGACGCTTGAGTGTGTGTTTTGGCGGTTGTATTCAGTTCTTGCTGTATTCCACAGTATATATATGATACAGATTGATGCTGTGAAAGTAATACCAGCTTTCTTCAGTCGCTTTTTATCAGATCCCGGATAATTTATGAAAAATGCAAACAATCTGCCAGGTACCAGATTCGGATAGAAAAAGGAGTGCAACCAATTTTTGTATGATGAAGACTTTTTTCTTTCCATCAAACTGTCTGCAGTTTCTACTTGATCCCAAGATATAATGAGCCAGTGATAATGTTTTTTTGTGAAAAGCTTTCTTCACACGTGGCATTTCAGTTAGTCAACGAAAAGTACATAGGAAACTAACAATGAAACTTTATCGATCAGGTTCATTTCTCATTAAATAAATTCACGTCAACTAAGTAGGTTTTGAATTTTCAGTGGGAGATTCTTCTTTGAATATAAATTTGACATGTATGCATAGTCGAGCACACAAATGAGCGCGCGCGCACACACACGCACATCTGCAATACGTATATTCAACAACAGTGCGCAATTTTACTCTACCACAGTTCACTCATAGCCCTGTGAAGGACGCTCATCCGGGTCTGTACCCGCCAGATGGGAATGCGGTCTCCTTGACGGTAACTGACAAATCATTTACATACAGTCTACAGATTACCAGACACTGGACTGGGATAATTTTCAAGACAACACGGATGATAAATTGCTCAATTGTTCAGTTATGAACCAAATAGTGTTTGGAAAAAAACCTTCTGGTCACGCATGCACCTTCGTTTCTCTCGTTACAACAACTTTGCCGAGCGTTTCATCTCAGTAGTATAGTGGTCGGATAGATCAATGAGTGCCAAATCCTCGCACGCCTATTCTTTTCCCAACTCCATTCTGGATCAGAAGAACCAGGGCACACACTGACACCGTTTTAACCTGACTTCGTTGGATTGCGGTTTGCAGTGTATAAAATGCGCGCGCACACACACACACACACCGTTTGACTGGTTCCTTCACAGGTGATTACCGTGTTACTACCAACAGTGCCGAACATTTCTTTCTGGCCTAAGATTGTCCTGAGACGGGTACACTGACTCGGTACATAAGAGCTTCAGATATATCTGTATATATACTCTTTGTTTTGTGCGTCCCTGTCGTAATGTCAAGTCATGATCTTGCTGTTGGTCACGATAGGTCAAGCCATTCATGATTGTGACAAATCAGTTGTCTCGGCTTGGGCACGAGCGGGAGACGAGACGTCCTGGTGAATTATACATTACATACACTTTTTGGTGTCTCTCTGACTCGGCCTGTTCTTTCACACTGGTCGGTGTGTGTGTGTGTGTGTGTGTGTGTGTGTGTGTGTGTGTGAACACGAGAACTTGGAACATATCAATATTACTCGTCCCAATTCCGGCCTTATTCATCATCCGGCCCTAGTAACTGAGTGACTCGCCAGTTGATCAACTTGTTAGAGAGCGAGATCGACTGGATCGATCTGCCGATTGGTCAGCTAGTCATCGACTGCATGGCAATGGTTCCTAACCAGTCTATTTGGGAAGCTTACTTTTACTGTACAAAAACAAAGTATCTTCCCAAAGCATGTCACCGGATGCCATTTAGTGAGGGAGGGNGGGAGGGAGGGAGGGGGGAGATACCCCTCCCCCCCTCCCCCGTTCTCCGATTGCCGATCACTGAGTAAGATTTATTGTTACGGATGCATGAATCACTGCTATCATTGAGGACCAGGCGTGAGTGGGAGTGGTGCCGAAACACCTTTCCACGTCTCGGTGACACGAACGATTGCACAACACAATTCAACTAACAACTGACCGGAGGTATCCACTGTGTGCAGGGTCGAGGTGGAGAAGCGGAACCGACAATAGACTATAGGAACTAACTTGTAAATTATTCATAACTCAGTCCGCCTGTCTGTACAATTGTATAGAAGAAAGGCGGTAATATTTTGCCTTCCTCGTGTAATATGTGGGAAATAGGGAAAAATGCACACTGGGTATGACTGCGTAAGGGTTTTCGGATTTGTCAATTTTGAGATGAGATACAATCGCGTACCGCAAATATCAATAAGAAAAATGGATTCACAGATAATACACACGATTGTACCGGTTCCCCTGAAGCGATACCTCTGAAAATGCGAACAGCAAATTCTGTGCACATTGAAAGAGGTGAACACATTATGCGACCGTGAGCACAAAACAGGGCAAGTCAACGGTATGGCTGACACGTCACACAACATCCGAATGCCATTAAACCGCATTAAACAGTCAGTCAATCAATCAATCGATCGATCAATATGGCTACAGGTATGTATAACAAACATATCAGTCAGTTATAGGCCAAAATAGTAGTGCATTGCACATTTGAATCACTCATGTAAGCCACTTCGTCCAGCATGACTACGAAGAATTAGACGGAGGGAAACAGACGAGGCGAAATAAGAATTCATGAATCGATTTGTTTTGCAATCCAGAATGCTTGAATTGTGTAGGTGATTCCGAAAAACGATGCACCTGTTTTTTTACTTTAAATCCCTCACAAAGCGAACAGTGATGAGAGCCCAAATCACACCGCAGCTCATTCGCACCGGATGTCACGTGACGGGTTGGCCTTACCAGTACTGGCAAGCCCAATGATTATTGATCCGTTGACCTTGCAAAGTCGCGTTGATAAAATTTCAGTCAACCAGCTCCAGTCAGTGACTTGTGTTCTTCACAAACCAGGAGCGTACAGTTATAACAACAATTGTGATATGGAAACGGTAACGAATGATGATTCGTGGATGAGGAAAGAATTATATTGAAAAAAGAAGGATACAAGTCGGACTAACGTTCGAAACCGTTGCCCGGCAGACGATCTAAAGACGACTATGAGGATGATGCTGGGATAGTACAACCACAGATTCTGTCAACCCAGCCAGAACATTAAAAGTGAAAAGAAGCGTGCCGCCAGTCACCAGAGATGAAACGATAGTATAAATTACCTTGTTTCCCGGTCGATAATTAGCTGTAAATAATTGGACGAGTGTGGGTGTTTCTGATTTACTTGATTCAGTAAACGTCTGTCCATCCGATAGGCATCCACTATTGCAGTACCACTTAAACGGAAAAATCCACAGATCAGCACAACTGGTTATTTATCCTGATTACATGCGAACTACGTCGCATAGTAAACTGTTTGCCGTTCTGTTTTGACAGGCGTTGCAGTGAATTGTACTAGCAGGACTAAACACATTACTGTTTCCTCATCACACGGGTTACGTGCTCCGGACAAAGGGGGGCTCGAACGTTACCAGTTTGAGCTAATTGGTAATTACGATTTGATAGCTCGACTTGGTCTCCATCGATCATATCGGATAACGTGACTTGGATTGAGGTAACTTTCCCCTTTTGGGATAATCCAGTCCCTTCCTCGAGGCCCGTGTATACCTCTAGCTTTTGAGCAGCCAGCTGGCACTTGTTGACGAATGGAGAGCACTAGCGACACACTTATTTGATACCGGGCCAGTTTTACATACTTCACAATACTTTCAACGGACATTTGTGATCTTTTTTTGGTTTCGCGATCGTATTTGCCCGGCAAACCCCCTATCCTCGGGTATCAATCACCGCTGATCGCCTGTAACCGACCGAAA